GTGCATTTATCCTTTCTCACTGGGTTGTGGATGAGGCTATTTTCCTTCCCCCCCTCCCTCCCTCCACTCTTGTTCCCGTCTTGATTTTTCCCCTCCTCTCTCTCCTTGAAAGTGTGATTACAAATAATCTATATATCTCAAACAAACAAAAGGCAAGCAGAGAGGGGGAAGAAAAAAAAAGGGCGTCTGGATTGACCGAAAAGGGCTTTTTTTCCCTCTCTCTCCCTCTTCTCTCCTTTTTTAATGAACAGAACTAAAACCCCATCACGAAACCCCAAACACAAACCTAAAAGAAAAAGGTTGGAGTTTGCCATTTTTTTGCTCCGCAGCAGCCGAAGCTACAACATGGATGTGTTGGCTAGTTATAGTATATTCCAGGAGCTGCAGCTTGTCCACGACACCGGGTACTTCTCCGCTTTGCCATCCCTGGAAGAGAACTGGCAGCAGGTGAACCATTTACATTACTCCTGTAAATCTCTTTTTTAGCGCGGGCATGGATGAATCGGAGCTGCTTTTCTGCTTTTCTTTTGTTTCTCGTACCCTCTCATCCAGATTCCTCCTCCTCCTTCCTCCTTCTTTATCCTTTCCTTCTTTTTCTCCAAATAAGCGACGTTGTCATAAATGTCACGGTTAACGAAGCAGCCCGCTTTCAAAGCTACTCGCCTCGAATCCTAGAACTCCTCTTAGTAACCCGAAATCGGGGCGCACATGAGGTCCGGTGGAAGTTCGTGGGAGTTCTCTCCTTATTGTCTTATGGGTTAATTTTTAGAAAGACAAAGCTGTGTCCCCCCCTTTCCCCCCCTTTCCTTTTGGAACACGGGGGTGTCCTTTTTTTACCCACTGTTGACAACTGACAGCTGTAGAAGCCGCCTAAATTTCTTTCTCTGATTTTTCAAGGTAATTAATTGGTGTGTCAGTGCAAGCCAGGTGCTTTATTGGAGTGACTTGATTGCAGAGATGTACTGTAATAAAATTAAAATGAGCATCACCTTTTTGAGTTTCTTCTTTTTTAAAAATAAAATAAAATTATCCAGAACAAAATGCTCAAGGCTGGTTTTAGAATCCTGATAGTTGGTAGGTGATTTCTACACATCCAGTCGCGGAGTTTGGACACCAGAGGGGGTTAACAAATACTTCCAAAGAGGGAAAATGGGTAATGAGGTTAAGCTAAACTGGTAGACAATACTGTCAGGAGAAATGGGAGAATGAGGGACTTGTGTGAAATCTGTGATTAGCCTAAATACAAAGATGGGGAAGGAAGGAATGATTAGAGAGTGATCAGCTGGGATGGGGAAAGGGAGATGCAGGGCAAGAGATTCCTCATTAGGGCATGGCAGTACCTCAGGTAGTGTGTCCTGAGTTGAGTCTGTAGAGTTGATGCTAGGACCTTGAGTGTTTAGTAAAACTATTGTCTTACAAACAGGGGTAGTGGAGGGGGGGGAAGAGTCTTGGCTTGCGTAGCTAACTAGACAGGTATGTGTGTGCAAAAAGCTTGTGAGTGCTCATGTAAGTTGCATCTCCCTTGTGACAGTTGCATGTTGATGGAGATGATAAGTTGCAGGATCAGATCTTCCAGTCAAGCACAAACATTAACCCAAGTCTACTGCAGGGCTTTTAGAAGTGTATGTATATGTGGATCTTAACTGCTGTGAAACCGTTAACCATTTACAGTACATCACAATGAGCCGTTCAAGTATTTCTCTGTAGACCATCTTTTCAGTTCCAGCTTTCTTTACCACAAAGGTTCAGTAGCAACATAAGTTGTGGAAACATTTTTTTTTATTCTTATTTTTTTAACCAAGGGGACTTCATCTTTACTTGTCTCTTAAAGAAAGAGGAGCTGTTTCTGTTAGTTTGCTTGTTACGCATACCCGGTGATGAGTCACATCTGGTTTTCTTTATCTTTCTCCTTGGAATGCTTGATTCAGTTGGAGAGGCGAATAATTCTCCACTTAACAGTTCTTCCAGCTTGCTTCTGAGGGTGTCCTTGCTAGTTGAATCAGTTGCATATTAATAACAGTCTAGACAGTTCGATGCAAGATAATTTGTTGACATAGCCAGCATGCCTAAGGCAGATACTGTATGTCACCGTACTGTAAAGAAAGAAAACTGTCCATTTTCCCCAGCAAAAGCTCATATCTTTCATGTATGCTGAACTTAAAAGAATAAGGTAGTAGTGGTTTTGTGTTTGCGTTTTAAGAGTTCATGTGTTTGCCTTAAGTCCTTTTACCAATTTTGAGCTTCTACTGCAGCTGTGTTGAATAGTTTTACCAAATTGTTTAAGATGCTTAGTTTAGATGAACATACCACTCAGTAATAATTAGCATTTATGTCCCAGTTTTTGAATGCCTAGAGCATTCCTTGTATTACACCTCAATAACCTTTACAGACAATCTTGTCAGGTAGGCCATTGTTACTACCTTCATATTATCTGTGCTTGGGGGAAGGGCTGTACAGGTCTCCCAGCGGGACTGAAGTGAAATTTCACCATGGGATTTCCTAAGTTCGCTCTCTCTCTGTCTCTCTTGCGAGAGCATCTACGATAATAAAAAGAGGCTTTTCATAGGGCCTCCCCCCCCCCGCCGCTTAGGAGAACTCATACATCAAACCTATATATGCTTTTGGAAACTGATTTATCCTCCAGGCTTTGGAAGTGGCAACATGGCTTCAAGAATTTCAGGCCCCACTCAAGACTTCTTTACAAAATTGACTGAAGTTTTATTGAAGCAAAATATTAGCACCACCGTTGCGGTAGAGGAAACCAGCAGAAATAACAGGGAGAAAGCTCTGCATAGCTTCACCTTGCCTTTGTCCCCGTGACCGTCTTTTCTGATCCAGAGGTTTGCCTTTGCAAGAAGTTCCCAGACGAGGTCTGAGGCCTCTTGAACACAAAACAGTTTGCAGTTTCCTCATCCCCAGCTTCCATCCTTCAGTCCTGGGCAGTGCTTCTGCCTTTGACTTTCTAAATGGTGGGAAGTAACCCATCCTTTGTTGAAGGGTGTTGCTTGAGTTGGTTTCTTCAATGACATGAAACTTCCCACTCAAAGGAAACCAGTAGCCCTAAACCAATTTACTAGTTTAGCGTCCCTGATAAAAAGGGAATGAGCTGGCAGTGAGAAAGCCTTTAATTCAAATCTTATCTCAGCCATGACCTCACTGAACCATGGTGTCAGCCCCAGGTTTCTACCTGCAGCCTGGAAATTTCAAATGGCTAGGGGTTGTTGTTGTTGTTGCTGTTGTTGTTATTGGCTAAGTGTCTGAGCATATGAGGAAGCACAGGGTCAAAACTACTAGCACCACAAACCAGCCAAAGCAGGGCACTTCCATTCTCAGCTAAAGCTACATGGACTTCAAAATCCTGAACTGTCTGGCTCTTGTTCCTCCTATTGCATGGGAGGAAGGTTCAATGAAACTTGCTTTCAAGAAATGTGCTGAAGATGGCAGCTTTGTGTCCAGTTATTCATCTGAGTGTGAATGACGGCAGTGAAGAACTAGTGCAGTAACACTGTATTCCTTTCATATCCTTCCATCCTTCTTTCCAGTCCACTACTGTAGGTTGTGTTGGGTAAAAAAAGGAATAGAAAAAGGTTACATGTAGTTGGCAAGTGTAAGAACCAGAACGCCTACATTGCTTCTGACTGCAGCAGTAACTCAAACCAGTTCCTAAATAATTGCTCACTCTCATCTGTCTTTCTTTCAGACCTTGCCCCCCCCTTCCCCATAGCTGAAGGAAGAGGAAGTCTTTAGGTCTCCGTTTCTGAGAATTAGTTGTGTGGAAAGTTACAATGAGCTGCTTTTTAAAAAAAACATAACCCATCTTGCTAAATATAAAGTAGACAAAACATTTGGTAGAAGAAAATAGTTTTTCTCTATGTGCATTTGCATGTTTGTAAATATGTCCTAGCTTCAAGATGGAAATAAGCTTAAAGAGAGCCAGTGTGGTACGGTGGACAGAGTGTTGGATTGGGACTCAGGAGACCTGGGTTCAAATTGCTGCTTAGTGATGGAAAGTCACTGGAGGATGGCAATGGTAAACTTGTTCTTGAATGTATTCCACACCCTGTGAGGGTCACCATACATCATAAGAGACTTGACAGCTCCTAACAATATCAACCAAGGTAAATACATTCAGGTTGTACCAGATTTAAAATGATTAAGATTATATACCTTGAAATTAAACGATAGAACATGGATAGGCTAATGCCTTTATTTGGATTGAAGTGGTGTCAAAAGAGATAACTTCTGCATAGGTTTTGTGGAACAGATTGGAACAGTAGTAAATTTTCAACTTTACAGCAAGCAAATTAGCTCTGAAAAGAAAACCATAAATTACCTTCATTTGTTATGATAGCCATGGAGAATGGGCTAATGTTTGAGAAGGAGTCCGGGCCTGTCAAATACTGTCTGTGAATTTGCCCTGGGAGACCTAAGTTCAAGACTCTCCTCAGCCATGAAAATGTTGTGTTGACTCTGAGCAAATCCTTCTTTCTCTGCCCCACAGTGTTGGCCCAGTTCCAGGGATCAGTTCTAGTTTCATTTGAAGGGGGCAGTTTCTTTGTAAACCTAATTGTTCACACATCTTTTGAAAGCACTGCAAAAGTATCTTTCATGGAAGGAGTGGGAGAGGGAATGGCTACATTGGGTAAGATATCACAGCCCAAATGGAAATGCTTGGATGAAATCAAAGAGACTTGTAAAATGTTGAACTAACCTGCATGGAAGAATGTTTTATGGCCAGGTAAAGCTTGCTATGTGTGGCTATCTGGTACATTATGTTTGGTTTACCACAAGCTGTGATTGTGTTCTTAATGGTCAGTGGTCTCAGAATGGGCGTTCAGAGTTTATGTAAAGAATTTTTGTATCTTTCCCTGAAATTTTGATTGTAATATGGAATTATTGCCTCCGATGAGGGAAAGGGCAAGAAAGAGCGACAAAAAGAGTAATGTAGATTTAGTGTATTTATATTTGTAACACTTTGGCAAATTTTTTAAGCCTTGGATGATAAGCTGAGTTTACAGTACCATTTGTGTGACCATATATGAAACTGCTTACATATTGTTTATGACATTTGTTGGCTATTGCTGTAATTACCAGCTTATATAATATGCCCCTTAAATATATTTGAACCACATATGTATATCCTCTGCTCCTTCTTTTTGTGGTATCTTAAGATTGGTGCACTCCAGATTTTTGTATCCTCTGCTCCTTCCTTTTGTGATATCTTAAGATTGGTGCACTCCAGATTTTTTTTGGGGGGGGGCTACAACTTCTGTCATCTCCAACTGGTACATCCAATAGCCAAGGTTTCTGAGGATGGTGGAAATGGAAACTGTAGTTGAGTACTCTGGGAGGACAGCAGGCTGAGGAAGATTGATCAGCATGCACTGCAGGCACTTAGATACTGAGTTCTGTTCAGATGGGAATATTTCTAATAATAACATTCTCTC